TAGAGTGGCTTCGTGATCCAATACGTTTATTTATTACTCACATACTATAGTGTTAAAACTGGGGAATTTGGTTAATAACCTCGCACATTCATTTTAATATCAGGTTTTAGTTTAGAGCTACGCTTATGTAGAATCTGAATTCTTAATAGAACTACAAATATTTCTAGAAAATCGTTCCTATATCCGACTTTCGTTCTCAATACTCTCCCCGAAAAAGGGGTATCCGTATAACAAATTTCCTTGGAAATGGCCGGCGTTAAATTAGATCCACTGTTAAAATTACATGTTATTATAAACGCTTCCAATTAACCACCCTTTACTTATGTGTATTCATATAGTTACTTGCGTAAAAAGCCACGGCAATAGTTCAATCCCATTGGGTATCGATCGCCACTTGTGGCATCGCATTTTTCACATTTGACATACAATTAAACGCTTTTTTACGATCATTGGGTATCGTTCAACTCAACATTCTCTTGGTGGTGTACTTGTATGAAAATAGTTGCATTTTTTAATTTATTAAACACTGACGAATTGGTTTTGATGATGGCACTGAAGGGAAAATATATCTATATATGATTGCTTTGATTGCACATTTGGTACATGTCATCAGGGTGTTAAGAAAATATTATATACCGAATTTCATTGAAATCGGTTGAGTACTTCCTGAGATATGGTTTTTGGTCCATAAGTGGGCGACGCCACGCCCATTTTCAATTTAAAAAAACCTGGATGCAGCTTCCTTCTGACATTTCTTCCGTAAAACTTAGTGTTTCTGACGTTTTTTGTTAGTCGGTTAACGCACTTTTAGTGATTTTCAACATAACCTTTGTATGGGAGGTGGGCGTGGTTATTATCCGATTTCTTCCATTTTTTAACTGTATATGAAAATGCCTAAAGGAAACGACTCTATTTAGTTTGGTTGACATAGCTATAGTAGTTTTCGAGATGTGTACAAAAAAGTTAGCAGGGGGAGGGGCCACTCCCACTTTTCCAAAAAAATTACGTCCAAAAATGCCCCTCCTTAATGCGATCCTTTGTGCCATATTTCATTTTAATATCTTTATTTATGGCTTAGTTATGACCCTTTATAGGTTTTCGGTTTCCACCATTTTGTGGGCGTGGCAGTGGGCCGATTTGGCCCATCTTCGAACTTAACCTTCTTATAGAGCCAAGAAATACGTGTACCAAGTTTCATCATGATATCTCAATTTTTACTCAAGTTACAGCTTGCACGGACGGACGGACAGACAGACATCCGGATTTCAACTCTACTGGTCACCCTGATAACTTTAGTATATGTAACCCTATATCTAACTCTTTTAGTTTTAGGACTTACAAACAACCGTTATGTGAACAAAACTATGATACTCTCCTTAGCAACTTTGTTGCGAGAGTATAATAATAAAACACGTCGTAAAACATATTTAATGGAAGAAGAATAATCCACCCATATAATATTAATTCAAATCATGAGTATCAATATTATCTGAAATTTAATTTAATACCACGATTCATTTATTGAGATTAGGCTCTTACTGCTGAAGTATTCTAGATCAAATTTTGATCTGAACGAACCTTTCTGCCGTATATGTCATGACTTTATTTCTCATTCCTGCGCACACACAATTTAACAATTTATGAGTAATCGCCGTTTAAAAACTTTCTGGGCGGGAGGAGGGTCGTATGAATTATTATTTCACTCTATATTTCACGTATAGACAGAAAATATTGCCCATCTTAGACGCAGAAGCCTTCGCAGATTCGACACAATATTTAGCAGCCTGGCGATAGCAAAAAGAATATATAGGAGGATTAAAAAAAATTCCTGGGGAATTGGGTGTAAAATGGTAATGAAGAAGCCGGTGTTTGAGCAAAACCGCTTGACTTAACCTTTATCAAAATGAATGACATATTAAACGCACCCTTCCCAACAGAGGGAAAAAAAGGGGAAAGTGATCGAGAAAAGATTCTAAAACTTCCGCAAATCCCCTGTTCACTGCAACTACCCACCAGCAAACTCAAGATCAACAAATCACCCATTCAGGACGGAATCCCAACAGAAATCTTGAAAATAATCGCTGCAGAATGACCGGTAGTATTTTTGAATGTGTACAATGCCTGCCTCTAAGGCTGAATATTCCATGAACCCTTTAAAATCTGGGTTTAAGTATGTTAGCAACGGCTGGTGCTATTCAGTAAAGGCACTCCACTATGCATTGACATAAGAGAAAGCTTTTAGAAAGGCTACTTAAACCCAGACAGCATGGCTTTAAACCCAACAGATCAACTCCAGGAGCAATAAATACAGCACTAAAGTGTAGAAGCCACACAGTATAGGTGGCATAAATACAAAAGAATTGTGTTGCTGGTCACTTTAGATGTCCGAAACTCCTTGAACAGCGCTCGATGGGTGGATATGATCGACGATCTCGAAATTAGCTTTAAAATCTTCGACTACCCTAGAGCTGTGGTGCGGAGCTACATAACTTAGTAACAGAAAACTGCTAAACCAAACTAAATAGCGGTCAGGAGCAGCACAAGGATCCATTTTAGGGCCAGACTTGGAAAATCTGCTGGAACGCTATACTTAAACTCGAAATGCCAGACGAATCGCGGAGGACATTGCAGCAGGAATTACAGCACGGGACACTGAAGAAGCGCGAAGGAAGCTTAACCAGGTCATGATGCGGATGCACGCATCTCTCGACTCACACAACCTCCAGCTCGCTACGGAAAAAACAGAGCTACTACTAACTTACCAGACTAATGGCCAACAGAGAGGGTCACAGCCAAGGAAATAGAAATCAGCGTCCTATTATACGGAGCAGGGATCTGTGCAGATGTGCTTACAAAGGAAAACCGGCGTAAGGTAGTGGCCAGCGTACACCGTGCCTTAATATTAGTTATGGGCGATAATGCCAATGAAGAGGAGAGAACGAGAAACACGGAATACAGACAGCAAGACAAATAAAAGACCTAATCTTATGGACCAGTTTTACACAACCCAGCCCTGACCTACAAAGTTCAAATCGGTTCCAATAGTTGCTGATCTACTGTATTTTATCTGAAAGTAGGCGGTGCCACGCGGTTCCACGCCTACTTACTACTTTTACACTTCAGAGCATTATCGAACTTATCGTTGTGCTGAAAAATATTTTGGGGGGCGTCTCATATCTATGAACCGATTTTCCCAAAAGCGATTTTACAGAATACAATTACTAAAATATAAATTGATTTTAATGTGAGCGTCATAATAACAACGAATTACATTTTTTATTTGATTTGACTTTTTACGAAATTTAGCGCGCTCATGTGCGCTTATGTCACAAATAAGTCATAATGTTAAATAATAATAAAATTATGCAGAACGTTTATAACCATTTTCGTGTCATAAAGCTTTTATGAGCACATCATTTTCTATGGCATTAAGCACCTTCCGTAGATAGAGAGAATTTTTATTATTTATTAGCTACTTTGAAAGTTCACAGGGAAACTAATTTTTCATTTGTTAAACTAAATGAGTGATTGGCAATAAACAGTTACACAAAATTCGAAATTATCTGAAAATCGTTTGCAAAACGCCGCGCCATATCACTGCAAATAAAAGCGATAACGAGCTTAGCATTTTCCACTTAATTTTGCATTTGAAAAACATTTCTAAAATTAATAACTAAAAAGCGCTTACGTAAGACCGTTGTATTGTGAAATAATAAATAACTTAACTTAATAAATGGCGAAAATCGGGAAAAAAATAAAGAAAAAATATAATAAAATAAATGTATACATTTGTAATAATGAAGTTTGAGCAGAAGTCAGAAATCCGATTTGCGGTGCAAAAGCCTGCGCATGCGCACCACCAACCAGCGCACCACACGCCTGCCGCACACAAACGCATCTCAGCTCATCCGAAATTATATCACAGGCAAAGTACTTGTAATAACTTGTAAGGCGCTGCAATAAAACGATCGCATTGCCAATTCACATAAATTAGTTGTGTGTAGATCTGGCGGCGATTGCTGCGCACCAAAAAGCCAGCGCGCCAATAGTTGCCACTGCCACTGTCGCTGCCGCTGCCGCCGCTGGTTGCCATCGGCGCCGCCAGCGCTGATAATGCTAATAAAGCGGTTGCTGTACGAACATGCGCGCTCGTATGTTGTTGTTGTTGTTGCTGTCATTGTTGCTGCCGTCAAGTTGTGTGTGCTGCATACCACTTGTTCTTGCCACAGCTAATTTTGCATCGGAACTGCTTCAATCAGCAGTTCGCATGGCACTGGCGGCCCAAACACACACACACACACACACATATGTCATGTACTTGTAGAAATGTGTTTGTGTGAATGTGCGCTCATCTGCTTCACAGCGCATTCTGCATGTTCTCACACCAGCGCAGTGCACCTGAGAGGTGTGTTGTTTGCCATCACGTTTTAGTTGTTGCTGTTGTTGTTTTTTCGATTGTGTTCTCCTTTTCTGTGTTTGATGGGCGCATGCGCAACGCCCATTTGCATTTCAATAATGAAATGTTGCGCATACGACACGCCGCACGAAAGCTATGCGTCGCTAGCCGCTGCGTCGGTAGCAGCGCTGCGCTGCTTGTGGCTCTGCCGTTGCTGTGATGATGCGCTCTCGCTAGCAGCAATAAAAACACAATAACAACAACGCTGCCATTAACTGGTTGTTGCAGATTCTGTTACTGACTCAATGTTGCTATTGTTGTTGCGCTTCGCATCACCGTAGATGATGCGGATGCTCTTTCGGCTCTAGCTCTAACTTTGCRCTGCATTCTGCAACTGGTTGTTGTTGTTATTGCTGCTGGTGTCGACTTGCCGCTATTCTTCTCTCACCACCGGCGCTGTTATATTTATGCTTTGTTGTTGCATTTGGTTTGACAAAGTGCACAAATTGCATTGCGGCAAATGCAAGCGTTGCCGCTCCGATCGCGCCACAAAAGTATAAAAGCATTTGATTTTATTTGGTTAGCCACAACTGTTTTTTGACGAGCCTTCAAGCGAAGACGATCTCAAGTTTTAAGCGCGAGCAAGTGTCGTATACGGTTTGGCTAAGAAAAGCTGCACGAGTACTAGAAATCTAATACAAAAGCAATCCTTGAAGTAATAAAGGTTCAGTTGCTAATAAATACTTGTGTGTGATTGTGTGTGCGTGTGTCCATATCCTTTGGAATGTTTTTCACATGATTTTGTATTTCAAACGAGGAGGATTCTTGGATTTGTTGGTTTTGAGTTCCGAATATAAGAGGCTAATAGTCTTTGAACTGTTAAAAGTGTTGTTGCTCACGATCTAAATATATAAACTTAACTGTTGTGTATATACATATTTGTACATTTCGAAAAAGTGTGTAATTTTRTTGAAATCGAATGTTTGTTACTTACAAAATTCCAGTAGACAATTTGAAATCTGSGAAAGAACAGAACATCTCTCTCATATCTCATAGCAATGTTGTTGTTTGTAGTTATTATATGAAAAGAAGACAAAGTATTTGAAAACTAAGACAAAAACCTATAGCTTCATACACATAAAAAATATCTTGCTTTGAATTGACTGATTTAAATCGATAATTGTCGCATCTACATATAATTCTGTAATATAGGTTAGGATTCATAAAAGTGTTTTTTTTTTTTTTTTGTTAAATTATTGTTTCCTAAAATGAATCTCTAATCTGTATCTCATAAGGATTTTCAACTGACATACAAATTCCGTAACAAACAAGAAACCTTAAATTTAGAGCGCTTCGAAAAGAAGCCCGCCAAAAAATCTTATTTTCAACATCTTCCGGGATGGAAATCAGTATATGTTGCAAAAAGAGGCGGTATTGAAAAAAAATAGAGGCTTGAGTTTTTATTGTAAGTTTAAATTAATTATTGGACCCCAAATACCCCTTTAAACGATTAAAAYTTCCTTTTTTATTTCTTCTATTAATTATTATATTTTGAAGCAACCCTTGTTTAGTAGTTTTWCATTTTCTGAGAAACTTCACTTTATTAATAATATGAATTGTTTATATCATAAGAATCTTAAGAAGCACAAAACCTAAAAGCTTTAAAAAAATCTGATATTAAGTGAAAACAAAGTTTCTTTCCTAATATTTTGAATAAAAAAACACAATTGGCTTGGCACATAAGATGATATGTTTACACACAATTTTGTAAAGAAAAATATTTTACCAAAAAAAAAAAAAACAATTTTTTTCCAACAAAACAGCTATTTGACTTAAATTGCTGATAATTCTAGTATAGGATAAACCAAAATAAATGTGTTCAATATGCAAATTAGTTGCTCGGTGGATAGAAAGGGTAGTGAAAAGAATAACATTTTTGTGGTTGGAATAGTGCAATATTCGGATCTARCAACAATTTTATTAAAATTATAATTCATATCGTGTCAGAAAAGATATTTCGAATGAAAATAAAATATTGATAAATTAAACAGTATRATTAGAACATTATATTCATAAATGCTTAAACGATAGCTATAAAAATATTTAGCACATATACACAGTTTAAGTAATGAATATTTTGTTTAGGTTCAATTTTGGTTAAATAATTTGATCTGAAGACCCTAGCAGCCAGTGCTTATAWAACGGGTTTTTAAATAAGAGCGCTACAAACGTTTTTGTTTTTATAAAACAGAAACTATTTGGGGTATCAATGAAATTCTTTATTATTAATTCTTTATTGATGTGAAAGTACAATCGATGCCATTATATATTCCATACATAATGGAACTCCAGACGCTGATCCCATTTTCGATGATTTCAAGCATAAATCGGCCGATAATGCTGCAATTTCACGTTCGACATTCGAACGAAGTTCATCAATCATCGCGGCTTTGTTGTCATAGACCTTAGACTAGCTSCACAGGAAGCAGTCTAACGGCGTCAAATTGCACGACCAAGGCGGCTAATTGACTGGCTCATTTCGTAAGATAGCACGTGCACCAAACTTGGTTTTCAATCATCGATTGTGATATTGGCTGTGTGGCTTATTGAAACCAAATATTGCCCAAGTACATATAATCTTTTTCTTTAAAATGTTGGACGCTGTTACGTCTCAGATGGTCCATAACATCCAATGGTCAAATATTCAATGACTCTCTCGAGCATTTCGACTGGTAGCTGGCGAATAACACCGTGTTGCTTTGCTCCAAGGCCTGAATCGAAGTGGGATTGCCCGCACAGACTTCAGACTTTACATATCCCTACGGGAAATCATACATATAATACATATAAATTATTGTTTGGGAATTATTTACCTGATTTGTTGATTGATTATATTTAATATTTTTTTATATCTTAAATACTATTTTAAAATAAGTTCCTTAAATATTAGGTTGTCAAAAAGTCTTGCGGTATTTCTTACGGTATTTTTATTGAATTTGCAATTGTTCATAAAATTTTTTTTGATGACTCATGCCCAGCTGTTGACCGATGCTACGGCTGCTACTATGCCGSTCTCTTTCGACCAATTCAGCGATTTTATCGCAATTTTCGACGACAGGCCTTCCGGAGCGTGGCGCATCTTCGACCACCTCTACACCAGAACGAAAACGTTGAAACCATCGTTGTGCGTTGGAAATGGAAACTGTATCGGGTCCATAAACTGCACAAATTTTATTGGCGGCTTGAGATGCATTTTGCCTTTATCGTAGTAGTACTGTAAAATATGCCGTATTTTCTCTTTATTTTGCTCCATGTTTGCRMCGCTATAACTCACGAACGACTTAAAAGAAACGACAATCAATCAAACACGTGTTAGCGCGTGAAATGAGCTTTCCAAAAAGGTACAGCATGACCCGATGCGACGAATAAAACTAGAACTACGCGCTCTCAGCGCCAACTAGCGAAAATACCGCAAGACTTTTTTGACAACCAATAATTGGGGAAAAGCTTTGAAAAAAGTGTAATGTTCTATTTCATGAATTTTGAATGAATACATTATAAATAATTGAATTAAAATTTTAATTTTTTGCTTTTTTGGTTTGTTTTGTAATTTCAAATACGGGGTAATAAACTAAAAAAACAAATTAAAATAAAAACTGATTAAAAACAAAAATTAGTACTACAAACGGGATTAAAAAATAGGGATTGAAAATTTTAATATAAAAAATAAAAATGTAAAACAACAACAAAAAATCAAAATTGAGCTTTTGATTTCTTACGATTCGCTACACCTTATGAAATATACATTGAATGAATACATTAAATTTGAAGTTTCCACTATCAAATATAACCGATATACTATATAACCATTTTGTAACCAAAACTCACTAATTTTTTGCATTTTAAGTAAATAACACCGGATTGAAAAATACAAATTTTAATCCCAAGCATTATTCAAGAATAAAAACAAAATTGTAGAATTAATAACAAAGACTTCATGTTTTATAATAATCTATATCGCATTTAAATTAAAAAAATTGTGTTTCCAACTTTCAATTTCTAATTCCAACAAAATAATATATTTTCAATTTTTGATCTCAAAATTAGGATAAAAAATTAAAAAATTAAATTTTAACTCAGAATATTTGTATTTAAAAATTCACAACGTTGTTTATCCATACAAAACCATTATTAAATTTGCCTAAAAGCCTACAAAATACAATTTGTTAAGAAATTCTATCATTTCTTCTAATATTTACATTCTAAAGTTATTCAACATTTACATTTTATACCATTGTTTAAGCTAAGCTGTGCCAAGGCAGTAAATTTATCCTAGGCCCTCTCTCCGTTGAAAGTTTTCTTCTTGTTTTTAGAGTCGGCAGAAAATACTCTGACGTGTTCATTTCACTCAAATTTATAATTTTGAATTTTTTATAATTAATAATTAATAAATTTTATGAGATTACTAAGTACTTGGCGCAACTCAAAAATGTATTCTTCAATTTCTTAGTTATACTCGTATAACACAATTGAATTAAATAATATAAAAAATTATGCTCTTCTGCTGGTAAAGAGCGAACATTCTTGTAAATATTAAGCGCAATAAAAATATTTTCCACACCTTTAAAAAATTTTTGAGGGTGAAAAAAGATATGAATTAGCCATAAATAATGTAATTTGACGCGTTGGATGAATATGAAAAAAATGTAAATTGGATTTCCGAAATTGCTGTAAAGAGCACGCTTCGAGCAATCAATATGCCAACACACGCCCACGGTCTAAGCGCGTTACCTAGCGTTGCGCTTCAAGGTAGCAAAGACTATTTGTACATGTATGTCTATGAACACACTCATACACATAAATACCACCTACACACCGTTGTAGCGCCAGCAAAGACCATTGACACCACTTACGATTTGCAAAACATGAAATTTTGTGCGTTACTTCGCAVAAAATATTAAAAATAAACCAAATAAGTATTATGCTAATTATAGTTTAAGGTGCAAATTTGATAATTTGTAGTTTTTAAATTTTGTGTGTTTGTATTTTCCGCCTTTKCAGATCATGAAGACTTCATTCCTGTTGTTTGCAGCCGCCGTTGTGGCCACACTCTCATTGATTGGCAGCGTCGCTGCACAACGCGGTTTGCCGCTACCACAGGCACGCGGCTACGAAGCCAACGCCGTCATTCTGAAGCAAAACTTCGATCTGAATCCCGATGGCTCGTACGCATACAAGTAAGTTCAAGATGCTGCTGTCAGCACTTGTAAATGTGAAGTGTAAAAAAAACARAAACAAATTAAAACCAACGGTAAAAGGAAGTCATTAAACATTTAATAACCGTTTGATCAAAATAACGGTTACTCACAATCGTTAATATCAATTTTTAACGACCGCTTTGACAGGTTAAATGAGCTTATTGGTGTAAGCGTCTAGCTTTAACTAGAAGATCCAACAAGTTACCATTCTCATGAATAAATATAAATAAACATTAATAGATATACATACATACATAAACAAAATAATTAATAGGTACATTATTKTTTATATATATATTCGTTTTTTACCGTTTAAACTCGCAGCTATGAGACAAGTAACGGCATACGCGCTGACGAGGCGGGCTACTTGAAGAATCCGGGTACACAAGTGGAGGCGCAGGTGAGTTATTGCTATATTGATCAGTTTGTACTTGAATTTGCATAATTCGGCAATAAATTGGTTGCACATGCGCAGTGCGCAAATTATATGGTCTTTAGTGCGCTTTTAGGCGCGTTGTAATTKCCCGATCCAGCGTTTATATGTTGCTGACTTGCCAGTATGCTTCTAGGCGCTAAGTAGAAAAGAGGCTGACTTTTAGAATGAAACGTATTCAATTAAATGCTTTTTAGGAAACAAATGGTGCAATAGAATTAACAAAAATTGTTTTCCAAAACTTTTCGTTAAGTTTCTGAAACATAAATTTCAAATATATTTTKTTACAAAATTGTATATTTGTACTGCATTTATAATATCAATTCACATGAATCAAATTTTCAAGTGACAACCTCTCCCAACACAAKTCTGAAATTAAAATTGGTGGCAACACTGCAACAACTTTTTTCAACTGTTAACTAATTAAACCGCATATAAATTTCAAATGTTGTATTTATATAAAAAATTGTACTCGATTTTAGTTTYTAGACAGGTAGCAACCCTGCTACGATCGGTTTGAACTCCAAGCTTTCTCCTTTCCTTTTTTTTTTAAATCCTCCATTAAGAAATTATTAACTGCTGAAATTTATTTAATTTCAGTTTGGTGACAACCCTGAAAAAATATTTGTAACTGTAAACTACAAAACTGCTTTAATCAGGCATTCTAATACATTATTTATATTATCAATTTGATTTGATTTTAATTTTCAGACAGGTGGCAGCCCAACACAAAATAAAATTTCACTCTAAGCTTTCTTAAACGATTATCACTTGAAGGGTTTCTTTACCTTTTATGTCTCTTGGGTTCAGGTAATAAACCAGGTGGCAACTGTGTCACCTCGTAAGAGAAAATTCAGTGCGCATTRCTTTAACGATAGCTTATAGTGGCTTTCGCACCACAATAGTACGTGCGATTGATTTGTTGTGTCTTACCAAAATGGCAATCTCCTACCCGAAATTCTAATATTTACTCTATACTTTARTAGTTCACTTTTTAAACTAATTACATTATTTTTGAAGATCTCTTGATTCATATTCATTCCATTTATCAACATCCTAAAAAGCACTCATATTATCTCTCTCTGCCTCCCCTCAGGTCATGCAAGGATCTTACTCATACACCGGTCCCGACGGCGTCGTCTACACAATCAATTACATCGCCGATGAGAACGGTTATCGCGCTGAAGGCGCACACATACCAACACCACCCCCACCACGTGCTGGTGGCAGGTTCTTCAAATAAGTTCACCAAGAACGAAGAACCAATTCCTAACTTAATAACATCATTACTTACATACATACGTACGAATTCATACAAGTAAGACGTGATCAATGCTAATTAACGTGATATTTTGCAACAACCACAATGATACAAGACACAGCCTTAAAACACAACTAATTTAAAACCGGAAGCAACAACACAATGCACATGAATAACGAAGAAGAAGAAAGATGCGAAGAAATGCAGTAACTACACTACAAAAGACGGCAAAATGTGGCAGCACCGAGCAGCAGAGCTTAGCTATGGACGAGGCTACTGATGAGCTTAGACCTACATATATACAGCTTATATCGTGTACGAGCACACGTAGGCCCATTACTGTTGTTGAGATCTACTGAAATGACCTCGTGTGCAGAACCTTTCTTATGACCACCCACACATTTTCTTGCTACAAACACACACACACGGCTATATTCTCACTCATTTAGCTTCTAACACTTGTTTTTAATTTTTTCTAACACATTAATCGATAATTTATCGATGATTAATATATTTCTATCCAACTTATTATTCGATAAGTTAATCGCTAACATGGTTTGTGATTTCGYAAACTCTTCTTTAAACTTTTCTAACCTCACTTTCGCACTCTCAACTTATTCCTCACGTCCACATTCCGTCCTTAAGCGCGCTACCAACTACCGATGCGGCGGCGTGTGTTGGCAATCTCCACGTATTTTCCACTTAACCCTTAAACGCCAGCGCACACTGTTCCATGAAGACAGTTAGAATACCTACTCATGTACCTTATCTCCAGAAACATACTTACATACATAACGATTATATGTTTGGTAATTTAAAATGCTATTTTATATATATATTTTTTGTTGTAGTATTTAAGCAATTTATGTATTTTGAATATTTACGAATATTTGCTAAAAACGTGAGTGATTACAACAAATTTTCGATTTCTTGTAAGTACAGCAATCAGGCAATAAATAAATTGCGTAAAAACTCATTAAATTGGTCTTTTCATACATATAGACACCATATACATATAGACATTCACGTATAAGCAGAGAATACAATTCTGCTGCTGCCAGCTACTCTCAAACTACTTTCTCAGTGTTAAAGTAGAGGCGCGCCGCGAGAGATTGCGTGGTATTTGCGTGGGTGGGCGTGGACTCGTTGCTTTACTTTTCGGGGGACTACTGGAGCGTGATATAATGCTGCGCGTAGGGAAGCCAAKACTACTCTTCTTGCTACTGACCGCCGAGAGGGCGGTTGGTGAAATACTTTTCAACGGATGAGCGCGACGYTGACGCATCAGCTCCTCATAGATCGGATCCTCTTCGAAGATTACCAACAAATGTAATTTACGCGAATAGTTATTCATAAAGTTCATCATCTTCGCTATTGTTTCGGTTTTGTAGTCGGTTTTTATCTTCGAGTTCATTTCTTGCAGGCGAAATAAGCGCCCGCTACAGTGCGTGTGACTACCGACAATGCCGTCGACGAAGTTCAGTTTGGATGCGACTTTCATGACCAATGTGATGGTGCCGTCSGGTGCGAGCACCTCTTCGGGTTGTATAATATGTCGTACGCGCAATCGCTGCAACTCGTATTTCAGCACGCGTAGATTACGATTGATGTAAGCGACTGCTCGCTTCTCGGGCACAAACACAGCGGCGAGCGGATCGAGCGGTTTCTCCAATGACTGGCCGAACTTGCGATAGGCGAATATTGTCGTGACCARTAGCGTGCCGAGTGCCATAATACCCATGAGCGAGTAGAGTATTTGCCAAAGTAGCACATTGGTGGCCGCTTCGATGGAGTAGCGTGGCGCGCGCTCCACATAATCATTGACGATGTCCAGGAAGAGCGCATGACAGTCGCTAACCGATAAACGATTCGGATGTATGCTGATGGGTATCTTTTGATTGAGCAACGATGTTTGGCGATTGGGAAAGATAAAATTCTTCAATGTTGTCCAGAAGGCAGGTCCACGTCTTTTCTGCAAAATCAATTCCGTACAGTGTTCGGTGGCCTGACGAAACCAAGTGACACATGTCGTACTCAGATCGAGGTCTGGGTGTAGCGCTCTGCAAAAGTGTTCCATAAATGTGATTGGCGTTAACTGCATCGGCGCGCATATTGTGGAAGGTCGATAATGGAATAAATTAAATATTTGACCTTTGAATGAGTTGAGAACTCGCTGTCTACTTACATTTTCTTTATGTGAATTTTTGTTTATTTTACTATACATTGCCCATTTGACAAGTTTAAAAAAATATAATTCTATACTACTATGACATTTTCGATAGAACGCGTAGACAGTTTATTGAACAGTTGCCACAAAGGCATATTTTAAAAAATGACAACAAGTTTTTCGCAAACAATTTTTGAAAGAACTGCAAATATCTGATATGGAAAAAAAACATATTTTTTATAAACAGTATCCTCTTTTTTCCTGAACTTAGTGCATTAAGTTTGAGACGAAATTTATAACACACAGAAGAAAATATAGGAGATATGTTATCTACAGAACTTAAAATATTCTTCTCGACCAAAAAATTAAATTAAATTTCGAGCAGTTTCCTGCGATTATTTTTACAACTTTCGACGTGAATTAACTCATCAAGAATAATTAAATTTATGGCGAWCAAGCTCCATCAAGAACCAGTTTTTATTGATAGTATGGTGGATTCATTCAAGATTGTAGATCACTCCAAGATGAGTTTTGGGGAGGTTGTCCAAAATCTGTTGTTGTACCGGAAACTATTGATGCTGTGCGCAAACTCGATATTCCAAGATTGTCATGTGAGTAGAACTATACATCTAATATTGCATATTTTAGAGATATCTCAATCAGAGTGGCAAAGGTGCTTCGACAATTGGTTCAAACGCATGCAAAAGTGTATACAGGGTTTGTCCGGAATATAATAGGACTGAGTCGATTTCAAAAAATTTATTGAACCAATCGTTACAATTCTTTAAAAACTTTCAAAAAAAAGGCTCCTTCTGCGTCTATGCAGGGCAGCCAACGCAATTTCCAAGCATTGAAGGCATCACGGAAGGCATTCTCCGGAACAGCCTAGAGAGCYGAGGTGCATGCTGCTTGGATCGACTCGGCGYCTCAAAATGCTTGACTTTCATCRGGATCAWACTCAAACATCCATGACTCGTCACCTGTCAWATTTTCTTGACACACTTCACCTCGCCGCAATTTCTGTTCGYCCGTGAGTACTTTTGGGACCATCTTTGCGCACACCTTGCGCATGTTCAAGTGCTCCTTCGCAATATCATGAATCATAGATTTTGATAAATTTAATATCTGGGCAATTAAACAAACCACTTCTTGCTAAAGCAGCACCTTTGTAAGCCTACTTGATCATATAGAACATCTCTGCCGCAGGTAATCACGTCCCTCTGCTATAAAGAACGCTGTATTTTCGGCTTGCACCACTCACAGAAAAACGTCGCGCGAAAATGTTTGTCCTGACTCTCCGGGTGCTCGGAGACAACTGATCATGTGTTCGTACGTTAGCTGGGAACCCCCTCTACCGTATACAGTCGGTGCACGCACGCTCCGAAGTACAGTCGCGGCGAAAGAAAATCAGTCCTATTACTTTCCACACAAATCCCTTATAAGAATCCTCAATATGTAGGGTTGTGGAAGGATATAATATTGTTATACAATTCCTTTTTAGTATCAAAAAACTTAACTTTAGATGAAGCTGAATACATATGGTGTAAAGTCAGAGACACGAAGAGTATTTGATGTATAGTGCATATGACAATATGATAAAGATATGCGCCAATAAGCACTAAACTTCGGATAACAAAACGGAATAATTTTATTAAAATTTCTCTGTTATCTGTCTAAGGTTTGTATTGACTCATAGTCAGTCTTTYAAGACGATATTGTTAGCATAACAGAAGGTGCCAAGTGGGCTTATACTAAAACCAGGAACCAATGGTAAATATCAGTAAAGAACAGTATTGAAAYAATATTCCCGATTTGATGGCTGAAATGTGATTCATAACCGATTGATTGGCATAGCACATTTGACAAGAGTTAAAGAGGAATATCCCATAGTAGACTTGGTTAAGTAGAAAATAAATAAAATACAAATAACAAAGCTCAGTGATATGCGTCGATCTTAAAATAATAAATTTTCTTTTGGATAAACAAGGAGGATAAATACCCCTGTTTTATGTGGTTATGAGAGAGATGAGCCAAGAGAGAACACAAAGTATGAATGTGATAAATGCCGTTCTAGTAATTATAATCAGTGACRAGTAAATATTTCTGAAATTTCGAATTTTAAAAATGCAATAGAATCTTCATATTTCAAAAAATAGAGCTGCTACAAATAAGTTTTGCTATTTTCACAATATAAAGCAAAACCAAAAAATGTTATCACTTCATTCCTTGAAGACGTCTTAGCTTTTAATTTTTAGTGTTATCACTACTAATACTTTCATAGTAGTAATATCCTTCTACAATAGCTTCTCCTTAAYTTTAGAGCCATTAGGTCATTATTCATTGTCCAATTGGTGTTMAAGCGGTAATTTTACCARAAGCCTGTTGCCAAAACYACACAGTGGAAGACTAGGTAGAAACATTTCAATATTTTGTTCTTSATTATGCCAATTTTCTAATCTCCAYCATGAATMTCATACCATCAGTCTTCCAGCYGAACTGTGSAATAGAGAKAACAGCTTCGCAAAATGGTTCAAAGCACTGTGTCCATATCAAAGGAATTTTTCTGGCCCCACAGTTGATTCTCTTTAGCCGGGCAAGTGTGAACCTTACTTGAAAGTATCTTTATATACAAAAATTTCTTGCTACAAAGTCTATTCGAGAGGTAGTTATTAGAAGTTCAGCAACATCCTTGAGTAAAAAATATTGTATAGAATATAGCAAGAATGAATTTAATTCGTCATTTCAATATCGAATTTCTTATTCTCTTCACTTATATGATTTTTAGAACTATTACTGTAGGACTAAGCTCAAAAAAGAAGTATTCAATAAGACACAATTAATTCAAAATGATTTGKGGATGATTTTTTAATCGCAATTTAGGCATCTTCCTGCAAACGATATTTATACAGTGTTAACACAATACAGCTTGTGCAAGAACTGAAGCCGCTTTCCCGAGTGACATCGCTTTGTTCGATGAGCTCTCGAAAAGTTCCAAGAAGATCCGATTTTGTTCAGTGATAGGGCACATGTCATAAATACGCAAAATTGTCGCTTTTGGGACGAAGAGCAACCTGATGAGATTCAAAAACTGCCATTTCATTCCGAAAAAAGCACAACGCTTTGTTGTGGTTTGTGGTCTGGTGGAATCATCGGTTCATATTTCTTCAAAATTGATGTCGGTGAGAACGTAGCCGTTAATGGCGACCGTTATCGAGTCATAATGACAGACTATTTGATGCCTGAAATTGAAGCTCGTGATCTCGGCGATATTTGGTTTCAACAAAACAACGCCACTTGAATAAATTTATTGAGAGAACACTTCGGTACTCGTACTTCTGTATTARTGCATCAGCATGTTTGTGCAAGTATACATTAATATTTTCATGGTCTTCTGAAAGATCGCGGCGCTAATGGTAACGAGTACACCTCCCCGGGTGGCGTGTGTGGAACTGCCTGTCTCAGTGGTTGTCTTTGAGCGACTTGACAATTCAGCGGACCCGGCCGACCAGGACCACCGGTWCAAAGAGGTATTTGACGAGCCTGGCGTAAGGGTGTCGCATCGGCGTCGATTGTGACAAAACAATTTACCATARGCATAACGAAAGTAAACAGTGAGACGAAATTTGCGCTGTACATGATGGTTTTGTAAACGAAATTAAATTCAGGCATAACCGCTTATTGCTTTTTATAGAAAAAAGTTGAATTTATTTGCATACATTTTCGTGTAATGAGTACGAAATATTAGCTAATAACAAACAGGTTTCGGGCTTTCATATACAATTTTTAAGAGAACGACAGTAAAAAAAGAG